GGAGAAGGGGGGGCTTGGGGGGGAAGGGGGGGCGTCCACGGCCTATGCATATGTAGATATAAAAAAAAAGAGGATAAATTTGCGGGAGAGATGTCCAGCTTTGGCCTGGCCTTTGGATGGGATTTGCGTGAATCGGATCTGTTTGGCCACGCAAGCAGTCCCTGACCAATGTGTTGAAAGAGTCATAAATCCTTGCGAAGAGATGCACTACATGGCTTCCTTTAACTTTTTTGGCAGAGACTTCAGCTGCATTTCTTTAAGATCCGTTGAGGGGGAGTGGAGGCCTGTCTCCTCAGCATGTTCCACTTTTCAGCGCCCTTCTCCGATCGCAGTTGTCCGATTTCGTGGCTTTCCCGGGGTCATGGATGGCATGGCATCAAGACACCCTGATCTTTCCTACGCTCAACGAAGTATCCAGGTCGTTGTTCCTGCTTGCAGAGCAGGTTTGAATGTACCGGGCCAACAAAACCGAAACAAATACGTGTGTCTTAAAATAGGGCACCCCACAATACCATGTCTTTCCTTCTGGTCTCCCTTCAAAGCGAAAGGGCCAGCCTGGCCCAAACCTTGGAGTCGGTGTACCAGGTGTCGATGCCCAGGCTCCCAAAAGGAACCCCGAAAGCAGCGAGAGGCAAAAAGTGGGTTGACGCCTGGAAGGTTGGATTCGCAGGTTGGGCATGGTGTGAAAACCGAGGTTGAAAAGGCCTCGGAGCCAGAGTGTTTGAGTACCGATTGGGGGAAGATGGTGTGAAATATGTGGAAGAGACCTCGAAGTGGGAGGAATTCCGGCGGTTCAGTTGCCCCACCTTTTGGCCTCAGACCCGTTCCATGCCCTTGGCCAACGACCTGGCGGCCTCCCCTGGTGGCCGGCCGCTGAGCGATGGGAGGCAGTTGGCTTCACCCAATGATGGCCCCATTTGTTCTACCAGTATCAAAGTCACCCCCCAAGTGGTAGGTTAAAGGCAAACCACCGCAATTTCTGACTTTGACAACCAGACATGGTCAACACAATGACCCGGTCAATATGCAGAATGCCAATCTTGTGCCCCGTGGCTTCGCGGAGAAGCAAGCGCCTCCCTTCAGGCGGTGAGGCGGTTCTTCAGGCTTTCCAACCATTCCTTTGCTAAACTTGAGACGCGACGGCTGGAATTGCCAGGCGCGAGAATCACATTGGGGCAAGCGGGCGAGTTTGCCATGTGGGGTTGCTTCCAAAGAAGAGAAGCCATCCATCTGTTTCGACCCCCTATGACCCTATGTAGAGGCAACCTCATTTGCATATCTGGTGGATAGTGAAAGCTCGATTGAAGGCCACCCGTTCTGGTCAGCCTATGAGGGGCCTTGCCAGATGCTCGCGGAGGCATGTTGACGGCACCAGCTCCAACACCGCTGTCAATCGGCTTGCTTAGAGTCCATATCCAGGAAGCTCTGGCAGGGCTCCTTAAAAGCTACATTTTGCCCATTTGAAACATGGCTTTTTCCACCAAAATAAAAAGGACACCACCAGTTACAAGGCAATGTTCGGGTGTATAATGTAAAGATCCCTGTCTGAGTTTATCGCATTCGGCCTTGAGCCTTGAGGTGGACGACCCCTCACGGCTGACTCTCTGCCCAAAGGGTCTGGAGCCCAATGCAGTGCCGGTTGGGTGGGGGGGGGTGCTTTAAACCCGTGGCGCCAAACTGTTGAGTTGTCATGAGTTTTTTTCTTTCTCCATCATTCTGAAGTCCTCGAGAACTTCCCTTCTTCCAACAAAAAACTATCAGAGTATTATCACCTCCACCTACAACTTCGCAGTTTCTTTTGTCATTAGAAGACGACACGCACTTTGCTGTCAGGGGTGGCAAGAATGCCGCGCATACACGCACACACAACGGACAAGTCACCCGTGCCACCATTTGTCACAAGTGGAAAACGCTGATGCTTATGTACAAAGACAAATGCACTTCCAAGATGTTGCATGAACCTGTGCCATTCGTAGAATGGTTGCATGTTTCTCCGAGTGGTGTCATGACTATGTTCACATATTTTGGTAGATTCCTGTCGCCCACAGGGGGCCAGGCACATTTCTTGGCAAATCCGCAGTTTCAATACAGGCCGGGGGAGCCCCAGAATTGGCACCGTGACAAGTTGCAACCTGCCAGAAGAACACCTGTAGGAGTTCATTCTCAATGGAACCGCGAAGCACGGCGAAAACTACAAAGCCACCATGTCGAATCCAGGACACATGACAAGAGAATCCAGCGGGCCTATGTCAAACATGCCCTTGCGCCCCACGAGGCCAAGCCGCAGGTCTCCAGTGATAGAGCCTCAGGTCCAAGAGCCTTCGCTGGAGGCTCAAGGTTGCGCTGTGCTCAAGGAACCCGGGGAAGACAAAGAACGGTTTTCACAATGGGTTTGATTTTTTGGGTCCTTGCCAGACAGAGGGGTGGTTTTTTTTTGGGTGTGTGTTGGCAAAGCGCCTTCCCAAAGCGACCTCATGCTTCGGTTTTGCATTTGCAACTATTGTTATTGCAGTTTTTGATTCTGAGCTAACCCTTCGGGTTTGTTTTCCATCATTCGGTTCATGGAAGGATTTAAGACCGACTGAGCCTAGGCAGAGAAGAGCAAGCGATGATCCTTTGGTGATTCATTACGTTTTCATGTGTTTTTCTTTACCGGGTTGGATCCTTGCTGGTGGTTTGACAGAGTGAGTCTCAACAGGGCTACCTTCCATCCAAAACTACTGTGGATGGACACAATCCTGCGCTTTAAAGCATGGTTGAACCCATTGTTTGCTGGTATTTACGTTCTCATTCTGTTGGGGTTCCAATGAACGGTACACGGATTTCGTCCCGTCGCCAAACCTAGGCCCGTGAGCGAGGACATGCCGTCGCCGGGACGCTCCACTCGGCGCCTCGAGCAAAGGTGAAATCTGGGTTATGGAATCTGATTGGTACTTTACAGGGGGAAGTTGAGAGCCTTTTTCGGGTTCCTTAGGGTTCCCTAAATCTCCTTAGGGTTCCCTGAAGAACCCCCATTGGAGCCCCCTCCCTGCAAACGGCTGGCCTTTCATACAAGCATTGCCAGGCTTCTGTGGGAGTCTGGCATCTTGGGGTGAATGTGGACAAATTTGTGAACCCTTCACAATGGAGCTCTGGAATGGAAGGGGGTGATCAATCTTTCCAGAGCCATAACTAGCACGACACAGGTATTTGACCATGACACCTTGTGGATGTAATCTGGGATGGATTGGCAGGGATTGGTGGGAATTGAAACTCACCTCTGCTTCTTGAACACAACATCGCTTGATCTGCGAATCACCGGGGCCTGCGATTCAAATCTCGCAAATTGGGAGCGAAATCAACAATCGACAAGCGTGTTCATGCAAAAAGCAAAGCACTGCGTGTTGGTCGTAGTTTGAGGTAATCCTTGATCTTTGTGAGTGTTTGTTTGTTGGTGCACGCGTTTACTTTTTTGGCTTGCCCCAAACAACAGATCATGGAGCGCATCCAACTAGCCATGTAATGCGCCTATTGAGGATTTGAGTGCTTGTAGGCCTGAATTTGGTCGAATCTGCTCCTGAAATCTGAATGGGGGTCATGGATGTTCCACTTTCTCATTTTTGAGCCCGAGAGGCCAATCATTGACCTGTTTGGTAGGCATTTGTGATGGAGCAGGTGTTCGGCGATCCGTCTTTTTCTCACGGCTGCCAACCTGCCATTCGAAAACTCCATCCTTTTTCAAGGAGTTGTCAACTGTTTGGTTCAACCGCCGCTTTTCTAAATGCACGCATTGCTTGTTCTTTGGACTTTGAGATGTTAGGGCTCACACTGACGGCTTGTGGGTTCAAGGTGTTCCTGACTCTAGACTCAGCCAGATGAATCAAGACTCCGCTGACTGGGTTTGTTGAGTTTTTTACGCATTGGAACACGGGCATTGGGCACAAGGGCAAGGCACATACCGGCACGCTCACCCAAGCTGAACTCAAGAATAGTCATCTTTTCTTGCATTAGGATGCACATACATCCATTCTGAATGTGTTTGTAAACGATCACACACACACACAGACACACGCACATGTGCATGGAACATCAAGTACATTCATGCTCACTCTCATTCAAACGACACGCTAAATGATTGTGTTATGCAAGACTCGTATTGGTCCAACCATCTGTCGATCACCACATCCAGCCATTCGTTCGTTCGTTCGTTCCTTCGTTCGTTCATTCATTAATACAGCATATATATATATATATGTATACATATTTTAACGCTCCGGCTCAGGCCGCCGACATGACAGGCCTTCTTTCCTATATGCATCCCTTTGGAATTGTCCCATAGGAAGTGTCCCTTGGGTATTTTCCCATTGGAGTTATCCCAATTGAATTCTCTCATCGGACGTCTCCCTTCGGAAACTTCCCTTGGCAATTTTCCCATTGGGAGTTTCCCTTTGGAATTTTCCCTTTGGACTTCTCCAATTTCTCGAATGGGACTTCTCTATTTGGAATTGTCCGCATGGAAATTCTCCCATCGGACTTTTTTTCTTTGGAATACTCCCTCTCATGGGAATTCTCCTTGGAATTTTCCAATTTCTCCCATGGGAATTCTCCCATTCAAATCCTCCCATTCAAATTCTTCCTTTGAACATTTCTCATTGGACTTATCCCATTGGAGTTTTCCCATTGGACTTTCCCTTTGGAATTTTGATGTTTAGATGTTAGTCCATTAAGACTTGTGATTTAAAGTCATTAAGTTTTCAAGGTTTTAAGCCATCAATATTATAGTGCTTGTAGTCACTAAGATTTGAAGATTTTAATCCATTGAGATTTTAACACCTTAAGCCAAAAATATTTTTATGCTTGTAAGCCATTCATATTTTCAGGGTGTAATCCATTAGGATGTTCAGGTTTTCAGCCATTATTATTTTAATATTCAAGCCATTATGATTCTGAGATTTGAATCCCTTAAGATTAAACGATTATAAGCCATGAAGATGTTAACAGGTTAAGCCACTAATATTTTACCATTGTAAGCCATTCAGACTTTCAGAGTTTAATCCATTGAGGTGTTTAGGTTTTCAGCCATTGAATTCGGCTTATTTTAAGCCGTTGCGATTCTGAGATTTGAACCCCTTAAGATTTAAGGTTTTCAGGCCATTGAGATGTTAAGACTTGACGCCATGACGATTTTAAAACGCTGAGCCACTCAGATGCTACGGGTTCGAAGTCAAGATTGTAAGCCAGTACTATTTTAAGACTTGAAGCCATTAAGATGTAAACACGTTAAGCGACTAATATTTTAAGATTGTAAGCCATTCAGACTTTCAGAGTTTAATCCATTGAGGTGTTTAGGTTTTCAGCCATTGATATTTCAATATTTTAAGTCATTCAGATGTTTTCACGCTAAGCCACTAAGATATTAATATTTTCAGCCATTCCAACTTTTAGATTTTGACCCAGTAAGATTTGAAGCCATTGAGGTTCTAAGATTTAAAGCCCGTAATATTTCAATGTTTTAAGCCACTAAGATGTTTGGACTTTAAGCCATTAAGATTGTACCACGCCAAGCCACCAAGGCTTTAAGATTTTACTCCATTAAGATAAGCCATTAAGATTTGAGATGTTCAGCCAGTACTATTTTATGATTTTTTAAGCGATACACATTTTAGCACGTTACGCCACACATATTTAAGATTGCAAACCATTCACATTTTTCAGAGTTTAATCCATTTATCTTTTCATGCGTGCAGCCATTCGTATTTCATCATTTTCAGCTATCAAGATTGTAACACGTTAAGCCAGTAAGCTTTTAAGATGTTCAGCCAGTGCGGGTTTTGGTCTTAGATGTTAAGCCATTAAGATGCTGATAGTTTAAGCCATTAAGATGTTCAGACTTTAAGCTATTAAGATTTGAACACGTTAAGCCACTAAGATTTTCAGATTTTAAGCCCTTAAGCTTTTTCAATTAAGAGCCATGAAGCTCTTAATTAAGACTTTCATTTGACCATTTGTGCGCCTTTTGTCCGTAATGCCAGTGATGCTGATGCTGGCGATGCTGGCGATGATGCAGGTGATGCAAAAGTGGGAGAATCGAACACTTCAAGGTTTTTCAGCGCCCCAAGGAAACAGGTAAAGAAGTACGGGGCATGTCTGTTGTCGGCGGATGTATATATATATATACATAAATGTAAAGCCGGATTGATCGACACACGCCAGTTTGTCATTTTTTGGGCTTTGACCCCCCTTGACAATGTCACCGACAAACCAAGTTTTTTCTGGTGTCCGCAAAGCCAATCATGAATCTCAGCCAATCTTTGCCTTGAACAAGATCAATGGCTTTCCACTGCGAATGCAATCATAAAAAAACAATGCAATTCAACACGATGGCTTCTGTTTTCGTGGGATGAAAAGCCTCTTGACGTCCTCACTTCGCTGAGGCAGGAGCCAGTCTTGAGGAGGCGATGTCAGGGCTGCGCGAAGGTATTTCTCAGCACGACCAATCAAAAGATGTGGCAAACCGCCACTGTCAGAACGCTGAGCATTGACTTGACTTTGATAAGGGCTGGACTGACCTCCGACCCGAAATCGGTAGGATCAGATGGGAATCCCAAGTCTTCAAGCAACCCAGTTTCGCAGAACAAAGCTTTTGTAAGACGGAGTTTGTGGCTGAACTTGCGGCCGAACTTGTTGGCTCGACCGTGCCCACATTGTGGCTAGACAACTAGCTTGTCGCTATACTGAATTCTAATACAGTGGCATAACGTTTCAGCTTCGTCTAGCCGTAATTTGAGGTTGTCTTCAGCCACCGACAAATACGTTTGTAGTATCTTTTGGCGGCCAATGTTCAGCCACACGTCACATGCTTGGGCCTTCCAACCACATGTCATTCTCGACAGTGGCCATACCTAGCGGCTTCCAGCAAATTCAGCCACACGGCGTCGGGCCACGATTGACTTTAGACACCGAAGAAGGTTCCTTGACATACGCTTTTTGAAAACACCGACGCGCTAACTCGGACAAAGAAGGTTTTATGCCAAGCCAAAGCTGCAGAACAGAAATACCGGTGCTTGCTGAAATGCTCACTCGCCTTGAGAGCCAGCATTTTCCTCGAGAAAAGAATCGTGTAATAGACTAACATGAAAGGCCTCTGAAAATGGATCCAAGTCTTCTCAAGGGGTGGGAGCTTCCATGCAATCGCCTGGGGAAGTACAAAACCAAGAGTCTGAAAATAGTTAAAAGTCCGCCAACTCAGCAATTCAGATGAAGAGTATCTCGAAGCATGGAATCGCCTGGAGTGCTTGGAGCTGGAGTTTTCTGCCTCGTTTTTTGTTTGGGCGTGGGAGGCGAACGGCGCTGGTGGCCATGTGCGCGGGGCAAGCGGAGACTGCGGCGCAGATCAAGAGCCTCTTCGGGCGGGGGCTCCCGGGGGCCCAGAGCCGCAGGGTCTGTTTCAGCGACGCAGGGGGTTGGGCCGGGGAAGGGCAGCGGAGGATGTTGGGAGTTGCAATTCATCAAGAAAGGGGACAGAAGGTAGATGGCCGGAAGTCAAGTTTAATTGAAGTGCGGCTGGCAGAGCGTCTGAGCTGGGCAAACAGATCCACCTGCTTGTCGCCCAGGGAAAGGGGGGGAGCTGAGGTGCGGGAACCGAGTGGATCCCAAAGTCTGGACCGCCTGGGTGGAGAACTTGGCGCGGGGGGCTCGGACCGCGACGGTTGCGCCCGGGGCGAGCCCCAAGGCATGAGTCCTTGCTGTCCTGGCGATGGTGACTAAACAGAGTGTGAGTGGATGCCTTTTGGGCTATGCCAGAAAGTTCCCATGGTTAACAAAAAGCACATTGTCACGAACCGCCACACTTTGATCCAGTGGCGATCCGGAGTTTCGGGATTTAATCACATTTCGGGATTAAATCAGATTTTCGGGATTCGGGATTTGGGACGAAGGGGCCTTCCCAGTCCCGAATCCCGAGCTGTGGTCCGGATTCCGGATTTGTGATTCGGGATTCACGACTGGGAAGGCTGCATCCTCGGATTCGGGATTCGGGACACGGGATTCGCGCGCGAGTCGCATCCTCCAGCAGCTCTTCCGGATCACGTCTCCTTTGTCTTGTCCTGTTCTTCTTCTGCTGCTGCTGCTTCTTATTTTCCCCCCCCTTTTTCTGCTTTTGCCATCCTCTCCTTCTTCATTTTTTGTCCCTCCTGTTTCCCGCGCTCTTCTCTTTCCACTCTCTTCTTTTACTCCCCTCGTTTTTTGTTTTTTTGGCATCGTCTTCTTTTCCCATCGTCTTTTCTTCTTCTGCTTTTGCTTTTTCTTCGCCTTCTCTTTCCATTTCTTCCTCTGCTCTCCTCGTCTTCCCTGTTTACCCCACTCTTCTTTTACTTTCTGTGTCTTTCTGTTCTTTTGCATCTTCTTCGTCTTCTTCTTTTTTATCGTCTTCTTCATCTTCTTGATCTTGTCCGTTATCTTCGTCTTCTTCGTCTTCTTCGCCTTCTTTGTCTTCTTCGTCTTCCCTCCCCATCTTCTTCCGCTCCTTCTTTTTCTTCCTTTGCCACCCTCTCCTTCATCTTTCCTCTCCCTTTTCTTTTCGTTTCAAGTTCTCTTCTGTTTGCGTTCTATGCGTGCGCTTTTCATGCTCTTCTCTTGTTGGCTTTTTCTCCTGTCCCTATCCTCTTCTTGTCCCATCCCCTTCTCGCACTTTTTCTCGTGGTTTTCGTGTTTGTTTCCCTTTGCTGGGCTCATCACGGCTTGTTCCGTACTCTTCGCCGCCTTCCCGGACTTATCACATCTTTTTTCGACACATAATGTGGTTTCGGGCAAAGCGTAAACTCATCAGAATGACAACTTGGAACATTACCACCAGCAACAAAGACAAACACTTGGCTCGGCCGATCGGCTTTGATCCTCCCCTTTGGTCTGGAGCAAGTCTCCAGAGCTAAGCTCCACGGGGTTGCCAATGCGGCTGGAGGCTTTGCGAAGACTAAACTGAGCATGTGCTGCCAGACCCTATCCTTGCAAAGCTTGTGGTGCTGCTGACCGCGTAAGCGGCTCTCTCTCTCTCTCTCTCTCTCTCTCTCTCTCTCTCTCTCTCTCTCTCTCTCTCTCTCTCTCTCTCTCTCTCTCTCTCTCTCTCTCTCTCTCTCTCTCTCTCTCGTTCTCTGCGCGCTCGCGCGGGCAGAGCCACTTGCGCGGCTTGCGGATTAGGCACCTCGCAAGGGAACTTCAAAAGCTTGGACATTTGTCCTGGGCATTTTGTCTTGCGCCAGCAGCTGGCCTGTTAATCCCAAAAGTAAAAACCTCTTCCTCTGGATCAGCTGATTGGTGCAGCAAGCACTGGGAGTATCAATTTGTGCGGAAGGAAAACGGCCATTTGCAAATTGCAGCTTCCAAGGGGAACGGTTGGGACCCTTTCTTAGGTGGGTCAACATGAGCTCAAAGGCACCATGTTCTCGGGGGCCAACCTTTCCGTATTTCCTATTTTGGTGGGCTTCAGCATCACCTGGTCGCCAATTTAAGATGAGCTTCCCTGCTGGTTACATGGCCCTGTCGAGCCTAGGCACTCGGGCCAATCCCAGCCAATGGCCGCGCGCCTGGGCTGGGGCGCACGCCTGTGGATCCGGGATCTCTGGGTTGATTTAGGGCCTCCCCCAAAGAAAATAGAATAAAGTTGCAGACGGGGCTTGAAAACAAACGAGCCATCAACGACAGACAAGACATTTCCTTGGATTCTTGCAATAGATGTCCGCGGATGGTCGCATCAGGCCGTAAGAATTCGGGCGTTTTCGCGCTTTAGAGGCCGGGGATGCTGGGAGACCATTCGGTGGATTCTCACCTGCGAGGCAGCCTGCTTTGGGGATGCTTCGCATGGTTCAAGGCTTTTTAGGCCGTTGTTTTCCGTTGGTTTGCTTTGGGCCATCACGCTTCCATCTCCCATCCGTTTGTGGCCAAGGCCGGGCAGCTGTCGGAGGTGGATCATGAGAGCATCCGCGCCAAACAGGCGACTTGCCCTCGCTTTCTTGACATGCGCTTCTTTGAAGAGTACCTCAATGTGCCCACAAATCTACTTCCACATAGCCTCCATGAATCAAGAAAGCACATCTATGTCATGGCATGCTACATGACCTCGAGCTTAGGCAAGGCAATGCTCATTTGGCCATCCAGCACTTCGCGCCGCCTTCCTTTAGCTGGGAAGACATTTCAAGAACCCGCATTCGGAAATTCCTCACCAATCTAGGTGCCCGAGAGGTGAGAGGGTCGCCGGCTGTGTGAGGTGCCAGAAGCTGCTTTGGGAAGGTTTGCTTGACAGGCCGTGGACAGGGAACACATGGAGTTCCTGAGCGACCACCGGGTTTTGCAAGGCAGGGCCGCTTCATCCTGCAAAGGGGCCCGCGGGGGATGTACATTGGCTCATGGAGAAGGTTCTGACTCCCGCAATACGAGTTTTTTTCAGGATTTGCCCACCATGGTGGGTCAAAACTAGCTTGGCGTACCTAGTTTTTGACACATTATCATGTACATGTCATCGATGTGGACATCATCCCAACCATCAAGCAGCCCCAAGAGGGTAGCCACTAAAGAGGAATTCAATTAGATTTCATTTGGTGCTCATATTTCAAACTATTTTTACAGGGTGCTGTCCTTTCCCATGAAATGTGTTGAGCAGAACTGAATCTGCCGCTTAAAGCAGAGGTTGGGAAGATACGAAACGGCCATCAAAAAGAGCTAGCTTGCGAGATCAACGATATGAAACTCATTTGCTCTTATCAAGTTTTTTTTTGGGGGACCTTACAGCATCTTAGAAACTCAAGGCTTCAAATAGCTGCAATTCCTCGAGGCTTCAAGATGCTGTAGGGTCCCGAAAAGAAAAGAAAAGAAAAAGAAGCCTTTAAAGCCCCAAACAGCTCCAAAGTGAGATATTCCCCAAAAAAATAGAACCGGGCGATGAGGGATGAACCTAACGTTGGGCTAAGGTGCTTAACTGCACGCTCATCTGACAGATGCCACAAAGGGTGTTGGTTCATTGTGACAGCAGGATGGTGGTCATGGAAGTGGAAACCCGCCAAGGAGTGTGTAACAACTGCCAGGCGTCATTTTCCAGATGAATGCCAGCACGTTTGCTAACGCTAGCCTTGGTTTTCTGACTAGAACCTGGTTTGGCACAAACTTCCACGAGCAGTTAAAAGAAGCAACACGCTCACGGGAAAGCACGTTTTGTGTTGTACCAGGACGCAAGGATCCGGTGTGTTTTTTCCTAGTTTTTTTTTGTTTGCTGGTCCCGTGGTTGGTTGGTTGGTTGGTCGGTCGGTCGGTTAGTTGGTTGGTTGGTTGGTTGGCCGCATCCCCGGCATCGCCAGCCTCACTTGGTTGGTTGCCATTGGCTCTGATTGGGTGGCAGTTGGGAGTTGCTGGGGGCTAGTTTAAGTTAGGGGGCTTTTGGTTGGCTGGTGGTCTTGGGGTGGTTTGGGGTTGATTCAGGCGAAGCGAGGCTGGGTTTAGGGTTGACTTTGAGTGGGTTTCGATTGGGTGTGCTGCTGGTTTAGCAGCGGCTTTAGGGTTGCTGTAGGGTGTGGTTAAGTGAGTTGTGGGCGAGTTTTGGTGGTTTGGGGCAACGCTCCAAAACCGATCCTAAATGTCATTTAACCACACCCTAAAGCAACCCTAAAGCTGCTGCTGAACCAGCAGCACACCCAGCACAAATCAGCTCCAAACCAACCCACCCACTCAGAGTCAACCCTAAACCCGCCCAACAGCACCCAATCAGAGAATAGGCAACCCCAAGTCCAAGTGATGCTGGTGATGCGGGGGATGTTGCCAGCCCTACGGAAGACCAGCCCTAGGAAAAAACCGGCCCTAGAAAAAAAAAAACGTTACCATCATGGGACGGGGGGAGGATTGCCGTGTACATAATGTATACATATACGCGGATATGATGTATACATACACACAAACGAGCAAACAAACATAACATAGATACATACATACCTATATATATATATGTAATGTATATATGTAATGTATGTTATGTTATGTTATGGTATGTTATGTTATGTTATGGTATGTTATGTTATGTTAATGTAATGTAATGGAAGGTAAGGTAATGTAATGTAATGTATGTATGGAATGTATGTATGTAATGCAATGCAGTGCAATGCAATGCAATGCAATGTAATGTAATGTTATGTAATGCAACGGAATGGAATGCAATGGAATGCAATGTAATGTAATGTAATGATTATGAAATGTAATGTAATCTAATGTAATGTATGCATGTATGTATGTATATGCATCTACCTGCTTGCATGTACATGTATGTGTATGTACATATTGTCTATATACATGCGCACATACATACATGATACATGTATACATTTATGCGTACATACATACAAACAGGTTTGCTTATATACATGTACGTACATATATATATATATATATAATGCAAACAGATACACATATAAGTTTGCATACGAATACACATATATGCATGCTGAAACAAACAAAGAAACACCTATGTTTATGTGTACATACGGATATGCATATACATGTATAAATGTACGCATACATATAGACAAATATACATATAGACATATTTACAGATAAACAGAGGCACACATACCAATTATTCACTCATCTGCCAATACATCTACACAAACCGTTTGTTCGCACACACACACGCGCATGTATATATATATATATATGTATATATATATATCCGCATGCACGAACAAATGTGTTCGTGCACATATTCATATGGACGTGCATACACATTTGCATGTATACATGTATGCACACGTACGTGCACATACATATGTATGCACACACACATACATTTAGATGTCTATATATGTACTCACTGAGTCAGTTTTTTTGCGTAAGATTCGCCCTCAGCTCCCTGGCCAGACCTCCAGAACGCGCCAGCCTCTGCAAGGGCCAAACGGCCCGGAAGCTCAGCGACGCGGCGGCGCTTTGTGCGCAAAGCGCCGCTTGTTCGGATGACCGCGTGTTGAGCCAGGAGTTCTATCGAGCCATGGGCAGAACAGCCAGCAGCTACATTGGAGAGTTGAATTGCCTACTTCTAGGCCATGCGCGCCTCAAGATTGCCGGTGCTTGTGCTGGGCCAGCCAAAAGATGGTGGCTTCGCATGCTTCACGAGCCAAAGCAGCGCCTCTGCAAATGATGTTGAGACACGCTGAACTGAGTGGCCAGATTTTGAGAGAGCAGTGGTATGCAGCCGCATCACCTAGGTCCACAACGCCCCGGGCAATGTCGGCAGCTTTCACCGACCGTGGAGCGTGGACCTTGGAGAAAGCGAGGTGGCCTCTGCGTGGAGACTTTTTCAGTCCAGAACGCCAGCCAGAAAGGAGAACCGCCTGTGAAGCGGTCCGATTTCGTGGACATTTTGCCAAAGGCGTGACATGTTAGTGACAGCCAGGGCCTTGGAACCAATTTCGTTTGGTCACGCGTCCACAAATGCACAAGGAACAAATTTCAGGCCCGCAGACACTTGAGTGCAACCGGACTCTTGCAGTGGTGTTTCAAGACCGTTTCTTGCCAAGCGGACGTCATGGAAAGGTATCGTTGATTGAGGATTGGGACCTCACCTAGATGTTTGGACGTACAAAATGTGGATGCAGCCGCGCCTAGGTTCGCATGCGCGAAGGCGGGGGAGGGTGCTGGGTTTTGGTGGTGGTTGCGAACTCGAGCATCTTTTGCTTCTTGGAAGACCCGTTGGAAGGACCCTTGGAAAAACAGAAAGAACATAGGCTTCAGATGTGTCGGGAGTTGTGTTTTCTCAACAGAGGTACGGTACGGGTTGGTGAGGACGAGGAAAGGAAGCTCAACAAAAGGGCCGAATGTACGGCACAGCCAAGCACAAAGAAACTCGGAAGCGTCATTTCCAAGTGCAGCGCTCAATGAAAATGTCTAAGAGATGCAAGTTTGCCGATGATGGCAGCTTTGCTTGGTCAACACGCCCAGTCAATGTATACCTTAAAGAAGCAAGGGGCCCCCTCCTCTAACGTTTTTTCTTTTTTGGGGGGGAGGGGGTTTCGTATTCAAACACTCCAGGTCCACCTTGTTGTACGTGGGACAATTTCATTAGCATACGTCTTTTGGGTGTTTATTCATGTTGAGCCTTTTGAGACATAGAGTGTGGGCGGCAGTCAACTATTTAGTATTGGCCCTTGCTTAATTTTCTATTGGGGAAGATTGGGCTTGCCTTGGACCGATAGCATAATTCCGCTCTGGTTTATACTGGGCTGATATTACTTAGGTTCACTCTGCAACAGTACGATCAGAGCAAGAAGGTGATACAAATTGAGAATCACTAGTTTCGTCACCAATGAACAGTACATGAGAAAGACTATGCCCCAATGACAAGGCACACCTACTTGGAACTCACAGGGAAGCACTGAAGACTTGGCGTTCTAGCACTCCCCCGGAATCAGGGGAATTCGTTATCTTGGGAGCTTCAGTCACGCTGGACAGCACGCAAGCCAAATCACGGCGCCACGCAATCAGCAGGTTTGCATTTCAATACGTCCAACGAAGGCACATCACCATGGGCGCCCAAAGCGAAATCCTATGCCACCTCCAAGCTCCTGGCAGGCCTGGCGACCCGCTCGCTCCTGCGCGCATCCCCGCAGACCTACGACGAGATCGTGGGGCCGAAGCACAAGGTGCGGTTTCAGTGAGCGCTGGAGCGCGGGAAGCGCAGGGAGTTTTCGCCGGCGGCTGGGCGGTCCGTTCTTGCAAGTCTTTGTCCTCTTGTCTGGAGAGAAAAGCACCATTCATGACAGACAATTTTTTCTCCAATGTTGCAGTGCTGGCAAGGAGTGTCAAACGTTTGCCAAGCTCGCTAAACCTCGAAACCTCCGAGGCCACCAGTTCTGAGGGCAGATTTGCACATCAGGAACGTGGTTGCTCCGCTTGCTCACAGCTACACAGCCAGGCGGGATGCCAATGCCGCAGCTGCCAACCTTTCCCAGTTCGAGCAGCAGGCGCAGCCGGCCTTGAGTTTTGCTTGCGGCTTGACTCCCCAGGCGGATATTGCTCACCATGCGGCATCAGAATGCCTGAAAGTGTCGCCAATGGTTAAAATTGTCGATGATAGAGGTGCAATTGGCCTTCAATACCTCAAGCGCTGGTTCTGTCTCTGATCAGATTAGAGTGGTGTTCGATCTCGGATGGCAATTAGACGGCACCGCTTCCGACACTCAGCCCTGGACCATGGGCTTTGGGAAACCAGTTCCCCTCCCACTCTCCAGAGCTCAGGACAGCCAACCCACGCCTGTGCGCACAACATCGTGGCGGACCGTTGAGATCCTGGTTCGGCTGTTGCAGTGGCATTTGGATAATTTTTGGGAGGGTTGATTAAAAAAGTCAGACGCAGATAAGGGGCCACCAGCAAGCTTCCAAGGGAAAGAGGGAGCCTTTTGGTGACCAAAGAGTGGCAAGTGGGGGCAGTCTTTCAGGATCCTGCCTACGCTGGTGGGCGGCTGAGCAGCCTCGGATCGCCTGAGTCACTGGAGTAACTGGACAGCCCCGAGCCTCTCAGGGATCCCAAGCCGGCTCGGAGCAGGGAGCGTCGTCTCTTGAAGGGGCCCAACCGGTTATTTCCCAGGAACCCTCGACTTTTAGAGCTCCACAGCTTGGCTGATTTGGATTGTCCAAGCTCAAAGCAGGCGCTGAGGTGCGCCGGTGCTCCTTCAAAGCTCACGTTGCTCAATCATGTTGAGGGTTCAGCTCATGCGGCTCAAGCGGCTTCTGAGGCAAGCGCAGAGATCAAGGGGTGCAGAGCCCGAGCAATGGAGTTCGGAAGGCCTTCGACTGGGATGTTGGGTCCAAGAAGGACTGTCCTTTTTGTGCACTTCCATGTTGGACAACTCGCAAGAAACACCTCCTCAACACTGCAGCACTCAGTTGGGTTTGGCTCGAAATCAGCCGAACCCATCTCCAGCCAAAAGACCACCCAATCGGTGTGTTGGTCGAATCATTTCGGGACTAGAGATGGTCTCCAGGGTGCTTGCAAAAGTCGTGCTTTACTTAAATTGGTTGCTTTTGCCGCGTATGTTTGAACCTGCTGGAAATTGCTTGAACTATCTACCGGCCTTTGCAGAGATGCACAACCCGGCAGGCCTTGGAGTATGCTCAAGGCTGGGTGCTTGTTCTTCCCGGCATGGGGATATGGGGATATGGGGATATAGGGATATGGGGATATGGGGATATGGGGGGCTGGCACATTCTGCGCAGTTCCTGCCATGAATCCAGGAAATTGCCATTGGGCTTGTGCAGCTGCGAAGCCCATGACCACAGACCTGCGTTTGTTTTCCTCCCAAGATGGCCTGGCAGCTCCGTCGCGTCACTGGAGAAGTTTGGTTACGCAGCACTCCCTCTGGTAACAAGGATTGCATGAAAAGGAGCCAACAGACTAAGCCAGTTGCCAAGATGATCCTTGCTTTTTCAATCTCCTCTCTCCCCACGTGCAGTTCTGATGCTACAGGGGCCAGTGGGAAGGGAACCCCCAAAACATCCAAAGGATGGGGGTAGCGCAACGGACATGCCCCCCGTGTGCGCATATGGTATTAAATAATGTACATATATATATATATATATATATAATTATCTACAGGATTGTGCGTTCCATGCAGGCAAAGTTTGGCGGTGACTTTTTGACTTCGTGGATGGACTGCATGGAACCAAGGACTAAAACCTGCGGTCCCCTGGTGCCTTATTCTTGACCCATACCCATGTGTGTTCCTTGCACCTCATATTCTCTGCAAGTCTAAGCTTTGGACTGGGCCATCCGAATTCCTGCGCCTGGCCAGGCTGCGCCCAGGACCACGAGCTCCTCTTCCAGCAGAGCATGAAACGAAAGGCCTCAGCCTCAGATCGCGGGACAAATCAGAGCACAGAGAGTTCCAAACCAAGCAAACAATATCGGAAGTGCAAGCAAGAATCAAACAAAGCGCATAGCTGAATATACATATACGTAGATTTACACCTGTATATATGTACCAGTCCCTGGGCCACGTACCCCCCCCCCCCCAAATGGTACGGTCCCCCCACTCCCCCGCATCATCCGCATCTTGAGGATGATGCTGGCAATGCTGGGGATGCTGTCCAGTACGTGTGAGCCCTGCAGCTTTGGTCCCAGACTCCCCCTTTCACCCCGTGAACCAAACCTCTCGCAACATCCTACCCTAAACCAAACCACCCTGCAACCCCTCCTTAACCCCAACCCAAAGCCTAAATCAACCCAGACCCCAAACCCACCCGAAACCCACCGCAAACCAACCCTGAACCAACCCCAAGCCAACCCACCAAGCCTAAACCAACTCCGAACCACACCCCAACCACCCAACCACCCATCCACCCAACCACCCAACCACCCAACCACCCCACCACCCCACCACCCCACCACCCACCCCACCCCCACAGGGGGGGGGGTTGGGGGGGGGAGGGGGGGGGGTCCACGGCCTGGAACATATATATATATATATATATACATATATATATATATATATATATATACACACCGAAGCGAGATCAATCGCCATGTATACATCTAATTCAGCTAGCTGCTCTGCGTGGTTAGCGGGCCCAAGGCCCGTAAGAGACAATTGAGTAACGCCGAAACCCGCCCAAGCATGTGGACATCTCTAAAAGTAGAGACTTAGAGTGTTCCCCCCGCCCCCCACACTGCCAAAACTAGCACAACATGCCTCGCCAGTGGCGAGAGAGAGACAGAGAGAGAGAGAGAGAGAGAGAGAGTGGGCCCGTGGGGCGGGAGGGGGCGCGAAGGCGCTTCGCTCCCCAGCGAAAGAATGAAGTGGCCGAGGGCCGGCTGACTGCTGACATCACGGGCGCCGGGCAGCACCCGCGGCCCAAGCTGGAGGAGGGGGGGCCGTTTGGCGGTTGGCGTATCGTAGGCTCGTACTGTGGATGGTTGCGAGATTTTTCTTCGCGCCACGAAACGAAACTAGGGTTCACACTTTTGCTTGTTGGTATTTTTAGGGGAATGGACTTCTTCCAGGGTTTCTGAGCGGTGCGAACGGATTGCGCCCATCCGAAGTAGGTGAGCCTTGGGCATCGGAAGCCCGAACCCAGGGCCCGTCCCCCGTTTCCCTGGATGTTTTTGCGGGATAACGCAAGAGGTTTCCCTAGTTGTTTTGGGATGGTATCGGACATCCTAGATCCTTTTGAAGAGACGAAGGGCTTGCAATTCTTGACGCCTGCATGATGTTCGCTTCTTTTTGATGTTCTGCGTGGCGCAGGGCCACAACAAGAAGGCTCCAGAGGCACGGCACGGCGCATCTGAGGGGGTGCTCGTTTTGGCGCTTCCCGGAGCAGTGGGTGGCGCCACTAGCCACTTCACTCGCTTGAAGTTTGTTGGAGGTGGAGATGCTTAGCACTCCCACTAATGCCAAACAACGCAGCACAAACCCAAACATGGTCTCAAAAAGAGGCAAGCACCCAGAAAACCGCCAAGAGCCAAGTTGACTGTCAGAAGCCAAGGGTCTTGCCAATTGAACGGCAGTCACCGCCAGATCAGCAGAGCTCGCCACCTTTTGCCAGCCTCATGAGTTGGGCTCACAGCATATCATTGCACGCATGAGTGGCAATTTGCTGGGTGCTCCATGCCAGGTCCTCTGGCAGATGTGTTGCCCCCTTTTGCAGATGGATTTTCGGATTATTCCAAGAGGACAGACTTTCGCCTTCTCTTCCATGTTTGTCGGAGTGCGAGGAATGGGTGTGTAGGAGGGCCCATGCGACTCACAGGTCTGACAGGACCGTATTTTCCAACGGGAAACCGGGGGCTTGGGCTTGACGAGGGCTCGAGAATTGAAACTCGGGCTCAGAGGGGCCAGGCGCTTTCTCTGATGGCTTTTTCGTGGAGTTCAAGTTGTCAAGGCTTCAGGTTTCAGCGCTCGTCTTGTCTTCCTTCTATCCCATCTTAGTTGTGATTTGCCTTTCAACGTGATAGGCACCTCAATTCCTGAAGGGTGACACCGTACCCCAGTTCGATTTCAATCTCTCTCTCACTCAGGTTGATCTGATGCCTTGGGTGTGGGGTTTCGATTTGGCGTTGGCCAGGGCGGCAACCCCATGATGATGAGATCCGGGGCCTCCCACATCTTGAACCCCCGCGCCGGGATGCCCAACATCAAGTGGGGTGGCTGGCGGGGCTCGGGCGGTTTCACCATCAATTGGGCTGGCACCTGTTTTCTGGTGCCTTGGTCGTGTTGGGGGCGATATATTGAAGACACGGGGACGAACGTGCCTGGGAATATATATGCCTTGTCCCCACCAGCTCAGTACCGTAGTCCACTTAGACTCACCTATGTTTACTGCACTATTCTGGTGCCCGCATCCCACTGTGTAGACTGACCTCCTGCGCTTGAGGAAGATGATCCTCCACCTCCCGATCGGATCTGCACTGCGCGGAAGGCAGGGAGAGACTGTGTCGCGTTGTCCAAAGCAAGTGCATGCCACAGGGCACCGCGCAGGGCTTCGCGGTGAGGCAAAGACCAGGCGTTGAGAACCCTTAGATTTTGATGCCAGGTTTTGCTACTATTGCAAGTCTCCTCTGCTGGATTTGTCGCTGACAGCAATTGATCAGGCGCTTGACAGACTCCCAGTCTGACTTGGACCCTGCAACCCTTTGCATTCGCGGCCGAGCGCTCCCCGAGAAAGTCGCAACATGTCATGAATTCAGGAGGAGGTACAGACCCGCGAGATTCGGTAAATGTTCTTCTTGCCCCCACTCAACTCTCCGGCAAGGCCCGAGGCGAGTTTAAGGAGGGCTATTCCGCGGAGTGCAACAAGATGGCTATCAATTGGAACCAGGACCTATACAGGTGAGGCCCTCAGTATATACTTGTGGCGAAAATGCGGGCTGAATGGTTGGGTGGGCGCCTGTGGCACCTAAGTGAGCTGTGCGCTGCTGCCTGCCTCGAAACAAGGCCGTACTCGAAAACTCATACCCATTGCCCAAAAATGTAACGGGGCAAGGGCTTGCTCCTGTTCCAACGTGCGGTCCGATTTTTCGGACCCCTCTGGATGATGATGATGTGCTGCTGCTGCTGATGATTCTGCTGCCGATGATGATGCTGCCGATGATGATGCTGACGATGATGATGATGATGATGATGATGATGATGATGATGATGATGATGATGATGATGAGGATGATGATGATGATGATGAGGATGATGATGCTAAATGGCATTGTTGGGGGTAGCTCCGATGTTGTTCTTCACACATCATGTTCCGGCCATTGCGTTGTCTCGAGGTTCGAGGTGCTGGCCTATGGGGGCGAGGGCACCCGGCCGCTGTACCGCTCCACGCCGGGGGCGCAAGTTGGCCTCGGGGCCGGGCGGAGGGGGTCTTTTGCAACGTTTCGAAACCGCAAGTTGCAGGCCTTTTTGGGAGTTCTTTAGCATTTCTTGGAGTTGACCTCTGTTTTTTCCTTGATTTAGTTCCGCTGCTTGCAGTTTGACCCATCCGTGCCTCGAGCTGCTAGTGATTTTCCCCAGTTACGCCTGAAGTGGTAATTGGAGCAGGGTATTCCAGGCCCAGGAGCTTGGAGCAGTGAGACCTTGCCCTCATCGGACCTACGGATCAAATTGGGGGACCTTCTTTAGGTTCGAATATATGGGTTCCAGCTTGCACCGAGGGACAATTTTGCGAATCACGTGGGTCGCCTAGAACCATTTGTCAGAAGCCATTTAGGGTCCTCAACAAATAGCAGTTGTCAGGCACAACTTTCCCAGGTCAAATGGTGGCTTGAAAGAGGGTAGCAGGAAGGCAGCTGAAGAGCAGCCGAGGGTGGAAACAAGTCGTCAGTTTGCTAGTCGCATTGGTGCTTTGCCCATCAACAGCTTTTCGGTCGCTTGCATATATAGTGTATTAACTCCAAACCTGAACATTGCTTGGTTTACCTCAAACTTCCATGAGGAGCGCTGCTGAGAGTTAGAACAAAGTCAAAACAGGGGACCCTCGGTTGAGGTTTTTCCGGGTTGCGCCTTGGTTGCTTCGAAACCCCTTGGGTACAACTTGTGTTGACACATCCCCGCTGACCTTGCAGGTCCTGCCCGCCAAAGCACAGTGGTGGCCTCAGTGAGTGTTGGTCCGGGGGTCCGCGGCCTGGTGGGTGAGCTTGAGATTCCATGGGGCAAAGTGGCGGCAAAGTCTTTGAGAAAAAGGGCACACCGGCTGCCAAGTGCCAGGCTATGGGGTGTGGGACAGTTCCTTGAGCTGCCAGTGAAGTCGATCCCCATCAGTGATCATGTCGTCCTGGAAATGTTCCACTTCGGTGCGACAGAATGGGTCCTTTCCATCATGGTCTTTGCGGGCGTGTCGATGCTCATCGTGCCCATTCGGTCGAAGCTTCTCTGATAGCAATCTCATTGCCCTGCACTTTGCAGGTTGAGCCAAGCTCACTTGGGACCCATTGTTTTCATTCGAACAGACAATGGCCTTGCCAGAACCCATCTTTTCAGTGGACCAGCCATATTCTATTCTATTACACGGGATTTCAGCACCGGGGACATGTTGCTTTGACAGGCTAACTTTAAGCCAAGCAACAACCACTTGCGAGCGTGAGGCGCGCGAAACCCCGTCACGGGCGAGCAGCAGGCGGAGCCACTTGAACCAGAAGGTGTCATCAGGAAACGACCACAGAGCTTCCTTAGGAGCTGCAGCTGGCTTTTTTTAACCTCACCTCGCGGGCCAAGGTTATTTGCGAGCCTCCTTTTGGGGTGATATTTTTAACGGAGACAGGATAGTAAGCCCTCAGCCGGCTCCAACCGCATTTGGTTTCGTGCTTGGCGGATTTCAGCATTTGGTTTTTCGAGCTGCCCAAGAGGAATCAACTTTGGTCCTGGGAGGCTTTCGCGCTTTCTGGTCCAGTTTGCCCCACCCTCCCGCAGCCAATGCATCCGGTGTTTCCCATCCCTTAATTTTTTAGGTTATCAAGGTTAAGCGGGGGTTTCCGTTTATCCCACTGAAAGTTAAACTTGTAGCAAGGGGATCTGAGGACAGCCCAGTTTGTTTTGTGTTTCTGAGGGAGAAGACTTGCTAGTCCGACCAGGACGGATACCGGACTCCACGTCGGCCAACGGAGCACGAGCAGAAAGCAAGGCGCAGTCGTTGAGGGCGCCCCAGCGGACCGCACGCCAAGTAGTAAGACTGCTGGGAACTCTCCTCTCCGTCCTGGGATTTGCACCTAGTCTGGGAGCCCCCGCCCAAAAAGAGGCGAAGTGTTGAGGGATCTATCTGAGTGGCTTTCCACTGCAGCAGTCGCCGAGCAAGCAGTGGTGCTTGTCATAGGCCAAACCCTTGTGAGGTGGCAATGTTGCAGAAAATAGAGATGGGTGTTTCTCACTGCCCTTTGTTTCGTCTCTTTAGACCATCCGAAAGGGACCCCCATGCCGAAGCACAGGCCCGATGAGAATTTTCATGGGCCTCATGGCCGGGGTTGGGCAACCGCCGGACTTTGGCCGCCCAGGGAGATGTCAGGCCAAGGGGTCCGGCTCTTGACCGACCACAGCATCCTGGAAGAGAAGGCCATCCATCGAGAGCGGGGATGAAGCGCTTCTGACTTGACCGCTATTGTTTTCCTGGGGGCCCCAAAAGAGTACCGAGCTGGCCGACCATGGCCTGAGATGCTTATGTGAGGCGTGGGTTGACACTGCTGTTGGGTTGGATCTTTAGACTTTTTAACTTTTTGGTTGAAATCAAGTGGGGTTTTCCACTCCCACAAAAAAGTTAAACTGTTTGCAGAGGGGTCAACAGCAACCAAGCTGACAGCCCAACGCTTGCAGGTGAACCGAACTGAGACCCAAGACCCACGCTGAGCGAATCAAATTGTTGAGCGATCGCTCCCAAACCATGGTTCGTTGGCTTCCGAAACAATATCATCATTCAGGTCTTTTGGTAAGCGAAGCACCCGGCAAAATATTACGGGGAAGTGCGGTAGTTTCCGTCTAGCCTAAGGTCTTGGGAGCCTGGGGCCTGGGAACTGCGATTTTTCTGGTTGTGTTGATCATACATCCTTTGAGCCAGCTTCAAACAAATGCCGTCATTTACGTTATGCAGGAGTGTTTCATGCGCATGTGTGATTGCTTTTTTTTTTTTGGCTTGAACAACGATGTGGGACGTCCAAGATACGATACCCCAAAACCTGAGAAAAGAGCCTGAAAAAAGATACAGGACGTCCCAACGAATACACAGACAAGTCATTTTTACTCTGACTTATATATATATATATATATGAATGACGATTGCCTACCTCTTGTTTTTCCGTGGCGGCTTCTTCGGTGGATGATCGATCGCCTGTTTGAGCGGACGTGATCCAAGTTGGTTTTTTTCTTTGCCCCCCACGTTGTCGAATTCCCCTGGATCAGAGCCACGAGCTTGCAGTCACCCAAGCCAGCCCTGTTGAAGGGCTGCTTCGGGGATTCCGCCAAAATCCTGTCAAAAAAGGGCACCCCGACTGGCAGTGAATTGCTTTTGGTTTCCTGAGACCAAAAAGGTGCCCAGGCTAAAAGACCGACCCCTCAAAATGGTTGCGTTGGTTTCCCAAAACCGACCAAATGAGCATTCACTCCTCAAAACCGACACCCCTCAGGCTCAGCAGCACCGCGATGGTCGCCTCACCGCCCTGCTGGCAGAGTTGGAATCCAGCAAGTGGGGATGTGAAGCAAGTTGAGCACCACTGCGTGTTCTGAACAGGGGACTCACAGTTACAAGCAGCAAAGGGTTCCCTCCATTCCTCCAAGAGAGCTTGGTCCAGACGGCCTCAGGACCACATTTCGTGCCTTTTTTGTTGCGGAGAGGGGGCTGAGATGGCCCCTGGAAACTAGAGAGATGTGTTTGTGTCTGAAAAGGGTGTGTGTGTGTGTGTGTTTGTTTGTTTGTTTGTTTGTTTGTTTGGTTGTTTGTTTGTTTGTTTGTTTGTCGCTATCCCAGATTCATAACCTTGCACCCTCCAATAGTGAAGGTTGCCCTGCAAATTTATCCACAGTTTATCACTATTTATCCACAGTTTTATCCACAGTTTATCCGCAGTTTATCACTATTTATCCACAGTTTATCACAGTTTATCCGCAGTTTATCCGCAGTTTATCCGCAGTTTATCACTATTTATCACAGTTTATCCACCTGATTTATCTGGTTATCTGGTTTATCAGTTTATCCACGGTTTTATCCACAGTTTATCCACCAGTTTATCACGGTTTGTACGGTTTATCACTGTTTATCCACGGTTTGTCACTGTTTTTCACCCCGGTTTATCCACAGTTAAATGAAGTTTCACTGTTTTATCCACAGTTTATCCACGGTTTTGTCCACCGGTTTTATCACAGTTTATCCACGGTTTATCGGTTGTCCACCCGTTTATGCCAGTTTTATCCACCACGCCGGCGGACACAGTTTATCCACAGTTTTGGGCATCCAACTGTCTGAGTTTTATCTGATTTTATCCTGTTTATCCATGATTTATCCCGCAGTTTATCCACCAGTTTATCCACGGTTTTATCCACAGTTTTATCCATGGTTTATCCACAGTTTATCCACAGTTTTATCACCTGTTTATCCACCAGTTTATCACTGTTTATCACGATTTATCCACTATTTATCCTGATTTTATCCCTATTTATCCACAGTTTTGTATCCACAGTTTTATCACTATTTGTATCCACAGTTTTGTATCCCACTATTTTATCCACAGTTTTATCCCACTATTTATCCACAGTTTTATCCACAGTTTTATCACAGTCACAGTTTTATCACTATTTATCACAGTTTATCCACCAGTTTATCCACAGTTTTATCACAGTTTATCAGTTGTCTGGTTTATCACTATTTATACGATTTAGTCACTGTTTATCCACAGTTTCACTGTTTATCACAGTTTTATCCACAGTTTATCCACAGTTTTATCACAGTTTTATCCACAGTTTTATACAGTTTATCTGAGTATCCTGTTTATCCACAGTTTATCCACCAGTTTTATCCACAGTTTATCCACCAGTTTTATCCTGATTTATCCTGATTTTATCCCACTATTTGTATCCACAGTTTCATCCACAGTTTATCCCACCAGTTTATCCCACAGTTTTATCCACAGTTTTATCCACAGGTTTATCCACAGTTTATCCACAGTTTATCCTGTTTATCCTGATTTATCCTTTTTGTTTTATCCACGATTTTATCCACTGTTTATCCACAGTTTATCCACAGTTTTATCCACAGTTTATCCACAGTTTTATCCTGTTTATCCACAGTTTGTCACTATTTTATCCACAGTTTTATCACTATTTATCCACCAGTTTTATCCACAGTTTCATCCACCAATTTTTATCCACAATTTTATCCACCGGTTTTATCCACAGTGCACATCACCAGTTTATCCACAGTTTATCCACGGTCTTATCCCACAGTTTTATCCCTGATTTATCCACAGTTTATCCTGATTTCGGTCGGTTTGTCGATTTGTCCCACTGTTTGTCGGTCTGCCCACTGTTTATCCACAGTTTATCCACAGTTATCCACAGTTTTATCGATTTATCTGACTTATCTACAGTTTTATCCCCGTTTATCTGTGTTATCCACGATTTTGTACAGTTTATCACGGTTCAATCTGGTTTATCCACAGTTTATCCAGTTTATCTGTTTACATCCACAGTTACATCCACAGTTTATCTGGTTTATCCTGATTTATCCACAGTTTTATCCACAGTTTATCCACAGTTATCCACAGTTTATCCACAGTTTTATCCATGATTTTATCCACAGTTTATCCACAGTTTATCCACAGTTTTATCTGATTTATCCTGATCGATTTATCCTGTTTATCCTGATTTTATCCTGTTTATCCTGATTTTATCCTGTTTATCAGTTTATCCATGATTTATCCTATTTATCTGATTTATCCTGTTTATCAGTTTATCTGGCTATCCAGTTTATCACCAATTTTATCCTGTTATCTACCGTTATCACCATTTCTGCTTTATTTTATCCTGTTGTCATACTTTATCTGTTTATCCCTGATTTATCTGTTACATCCCTGGTTATCCCCCATTTTATCCACGATTTCTGCTGTTATCCCCTGCTAATCCCCGTTACATCCCTGATTTATCTAGGATTCTGCTGTTTATCCTGTTTATCCTGTTGCTGTTATCCTGTTTTATCCTGGCACATCTGATTTATCAGTTTTATCCAGTTTGCTCTGATTTCTACTTTGTTTATCCTGTTTATCACAATGTCCTGTTATCCTGTTTACCATGTTCTGCTGTTTTACCACTGTTATCCGTGTTTATCAGTGTTTATCCTGTTTCCATGTTGCTGTTTATCCTATTTATCCTGTTTGCATCTGTTACATCCACCAGATTTACCGCTGTTTATCCCTGGTTATCCTGTTTATCAACAATTTATGCTGTTTCTCCATGTTTTACACTTATTTATCTACAATCTGCATTTATCCTGTTTCGCTGTTTATCTGTTATCACCCTTTATCCTGTTTATCGGTTATCTGGTACATCTGGTTATCACCGTTTTATCGATTACTTTATTTTATCCTACTTATCTGGTTATCCTGGTTTATCTAGGTTTACCACTTTATTTATCCTGTTTATCCACCATTTGCTGTTTATCCTGTTACATCACTTATTTATCAGATTATCCACAGTTTTACCATCTACAGTTATCTGATTTGCTGTTTATCCTGTTTATCCTGTTTACATCATATTTATCCTGTTTCTGTTCTGCTGTTTCTGCTGTTTATCCATTTATCCAGTATTTATCACATTACATATTCTACTTTATTTTATCCACCATTTATCTGTTACCACATCACGATTTATCCTGTTTATCCTGTTTATCTGATTTATCCATATCTGTTTATCCTGATTTATGACTGTTTCTGGCTTTATTTATCAGTTTATCCTGTTATCCTGTTTATCCCTGTTTACACTGTTGCTATTTATCCACCAATGTTATCCTGTTTATCCTGTAATCCTGGCCCATCCTGTGTCTCCTATTTATCCTATTCTCTGCTATCCATATTTATCCATATTTATCCACATTCTGCATGCTAAGCGTGCCCACGTGATGTTTACATTGGCCATCTGATTTATCACGGTTTATCCTGTTTATCTGTTCTGATTTATCCTGGTTATCCATATCACCAGTACATCACCGTTTATCCCGCAATACATCTGTTTATCAGTTTATCCTGTTTATCCTGGCCCATCACCAGTACATCACCATTTTATCCATAGTTTACATCTGATTTATCCTGTTTATCCTGACATCTGGCACATCAGTTATCTGTTTATCCTGTTTATTCGTTTATCCCACCGTTTATCCTGTTTTACTGCTGTTTTGTCCATATTTATCAGTGTTTATCCACCATTTCTACCATTTCTAAGCATTTACCTTTGTTTATCCTGTTTAGATCCTACAGTATCCTGGGTTATCCGCAATACATCCACAGATTTGTCTGATTTATCCTCTTTGTCTCGGTTTATCCTGGTACATCGGTTCGTCCACCAGTTATCACCTATCTGTTTTACCGTTTATCCGCATTTGCTGTTTATCGTTAATCCTGTTACATCACCATTTATGCAGCATTTTATCACCATTTGCCTGTTTATCCAATGTTTATCCTGTGCCATCTGTTTATCCATTTTTATCCATATCCTGTACATCGTTTATCCTGGTACATCTGGCTATCCTGTTTATCCACTGCTTTATCTGTTTATCCTATTTATTGGTTATCACCGTTTATCCTGTTTATCTGTTTACATCTGTTCTGCTGTTATCCACCATCACAGTATCTGTTTACCGCTGTTTATCCAGTTTATCCATATCCACCATTTATCCGTTTATCCTGTTCTACTGTTTATCAATTAATATCCTGTTTATTCTGTTTATCCACCAATGCTACTGCAAATCAATGCATCTTATCTGTTGTTGTTTGTTTGTTTAATTGTTTGTTTGTTTGTTTTGCTCGCCTGCTTGTTTCTTAATTTATTTCTGTTTTGTTTGTTGTAATTGTTTACATTTTATTTATTTATTTGTTGTTGTTGTTTAATTCTTAACATCTGTTTCTCCTGTTTATCCACTGTTTATCCTCTTTATCTGAGTTTGCATCAGTGTTTGTCACCAACATCCTGTTGCTGTTATCTGACATCCTGTGCATCCTGTAGTCTGTTTCTCTGTTTACCTCTCTTATCCTGTGTGCCTCTGTTGTCTGTTTACCACTGTTTATTTATCTCTATCTATCTATATCTGTTGTTATTAATTTGATATTTATTTATTTAATTATTTGTTTAGTTGTTGTTACCTTTTTTTTTTCTTTAATTTCTTATTTTATTTATTTATAATTGTTATTTACTTATAGATTGTTGTTTGTTTGTTTGTTTTGTTGTTTCTTTGTTTGTTTAATTTGTCCAACATCCTGTTTATCACCATTTATCCTGTTGCTCCTTATTTATCCTGTTTATCATAAGCATCCGGTTTATCAGTGTTTATCCTGTTATCCTGTTGCTGTTTATCCTGTTTATCTGTTAAATCACAATAATCTGTAATACCCTGTTTATATGGTATCCTGTGTAATACCTCTTATTTTATCCTGTTTATCATATTTCTCTGTTTATCTTACCATCATCTTATCTTATCTGTCTGTCTGTTGTTGTTTGTTTGATTGTTCTTTGTCAGACTTACTCTACCTTTTTGTTTTCATGATTTCATTCTTGTTTTGTTGTAATTATTTGTTTACTTATGTGAATTTGTGTTGTTTGCTTTGCGTTTGCTTTGTTGCTTGCTTGCACTTACTTCTTATTTATTTATTTATTTATTTATTTTATTTATTGGTTAATTAATTAATTGGTGTTTCTTTTAATTAATTAATTAATTAATTATTTAGTTAATTTAATTTAATTAATTAATTAGTTAATTAATTAATTAATTGATTAACAATTTAACACATTTGTTAAATTGATTTATTCATTAAATCATTAATTAATTCGTGTAATATGTGTGTATGTTGTATTGCTGTTAATATTCATGATTATTATTTGTATTGTATTGTATTTATGTTGTATTTATGTTGTATTGTATTTATTATTTGTGGTATGGTATAGTATGGTATATGGTATGAGTATGAGTATGAGTATAGAATTATTTATAAGATGTTGTCGATGTTGTGGGTATTTGTGTGTGTGTGTGTGTGTGTGTGTGTGTATCATCTTATCTTTATCTTATCTTATCTTATCTTATCATCTTATCTTATCTATCTATCTTATCTATCACATCTTATCTACCTTATCTATCTTATCTTTATCTATCTTATCTGTATCATATCATATCTTATCATATCATTATCTATCTATCATATCTTATCTATCTTATCTGTCATCATCTTATCATATCTATCAACATCTTATCTTATCATCTTATCATATCTTATCTTATCTGTCTTATCTTATCTTATCTTATCTTATCTTATCTATCTATCATCTTATCTTTATCATATCTTATCTTATCATATCTATCATATCTTATCTATCTTATCATATCTATCTATCCTATCTATCTATCTATCTTATCTTATCTATCTATCTTATCACCAATATATCTATCTATCTTATCTATCTGTCTTATCTATCTAATATTGTGTGTGTGTGTGTGTGTGTGTGTGTGTGTGTGTTGGTGTCTTTTTTTTTTAACGTGGGATAAAATGATTTGTGTCTTAGGGTTTAGGGTGAGTGAGTTTCAAGCTGTGGGTGAGGTAAATGAACTGTTTTCGGCTGACCAGAAAATTAGGACGTGGCACAAGCCACATACATTTGCAGTTCTTTTCCTGCAGTCCTAGCATTTCCGTCTCGAGCTTCATTGCTTGCCCTTTGTGTGTCACTTTGCTACCCTGAACATATGGCTTTCCTATTGTTTCTGAACTCAGATGCAGGGTTTTGTGGTCGCCAATGCCACGGATCCCCACTTGGCAGGGTTCCTTGGAGTCTGTGACGAGTTCCTACTGCTTTCAGGACCCCTTGGCAAGACGTGTCACATGGCGTGGCCCAGGGGGACGAGAACTTCGCGAAGCTTTGCAAAGCTGGCGTAGAGCTTGGAGCTGCCAGACATGCAGAGGCCGGCTCGGGTGCCAGCTCACGGTTCACTAGACGCACGATGCATGCCTCACAGTTGGCGGCAGCAGTGTTTGCCACGCAGGATTCACTCTTGGCAAGACAAACACACAAAACAAAATCGCAGATAAACCAAGACCTGTGAGCCTGTGACAGTTTTAACCCAACTTTCCCGGATGTTTTCACCATCTCGGTACCAAGCTGTGCCAGGTGTCGAAGATCAAGGCCACGCAGTGGAGGGGCCTGTCAACCAACGTAGCCAATGCACTCAGGCGCCGGGGGGAGGTGGGTATGGGTGGGCCATGCAGGGCGCATTGCAGTGTTTGGTCAACCCATCTGCCAGGTTGATTCCTGCGGTGCGGTTGGGGGCCGTTGGCAAAATCTGGCTTTGCTGGTTGCCATACCGAGAAATTTGCTTGCAAAATTGAGGAGTATCTGACTGCGTAAATTGGCTCCGGACTGGTGCGTGACTGTATACTACCTGCGGGCGCACACCTGTTGCGAAAATTGAGGAAACATGGGCGGGCGAACAACGTTTGTGACAAAGAACTGTCACAGACACGTTGTCCCTTTTGGGAACGGGCTTTTGGTCAGCGAGGCTCCGCGCATACACAAAGCCTGCTTGCAGGGGTAATCCCAGGCACTCAAAGCGGGTTGGGCAAATGGGAAAGATCCTTTACACGGGATGGATGACCATTGGGGAGCACCACTAAAAAGATGATATTTCCCCTAAATGGGGAAAGCTACCCATGGTCGTTTGCGGGCAAGGAGTATTGACCAACCCCCAAATATACCCTGGGTTCCATCTTGGATCCGGCAAATGAGCAATCGCAGAGGGTCAAACCGACATCCGCACTTTTCGCCGCTCGTTTCGAGAGCGCAGCCGAGGTGGGAGGACTGACTTGGCGCAGCGTGCTAGTCTCAAAGTAGGTTCGCGCAGCAAAGCTGGCACCCTTAGCTCTGTAGATCCAAGAGCTGGGCTCGCGGAGTCCGTCCTTCCATCTCCTCTTGCAGGGCTTCGTTTGGAGCGGCCGCATCGCCAAAGTCCAAACGCAGTTCACTTCACGTCATGCAGGTTTTTGAAGGTCGTTGGAGCTCGATTTTTACGACCAGGGTGCCGTTCCGACGCGGCTGAGTCGTGTTTAGTCATTGACTCAGGCATCAAATGCGCTGAATACCTATGTTAAGTTCCTGCCCCAATGTTGACACTCGCCAATGCCTTGCCCCCCAAGAGGATCGAATTCTTTGCGCAGTCCCTCTGCGTGGTTGAGGCAAAATGCCTGCCTGTCACCCTGGACCACAGCGAAGCAGAATGCAACTTGAGCATCTGTGTTCCAGGTGGCTCTCCTAGGAGCCAGGGCGAGACTGGCTCGAGTCTCGGGATCCAGTCTCTCCATGGCTTCCAGGAGGCCTGGTTATCTGAAAGCGCCGCACGCTCAAATCGCCCTCCCAGAAATCTGGGCCTGAGATGCGGGCGAGGCTGAGCCCAAAAAGCTCGCGCGCTTGCGGCTCGTCCCAAATTGTGTGCGGGCAAGCGGTTTTGGGTCTTCTGCCAACGGATGGACAAAGAACGTGACTGCGATCGCATATAGACCGATCCTGATTCAATTAAGAGCCAACGAGCCGTCCTTCACCATTTTCTCTTGAGTGGCTGAGAAGGGCCCCAATATCCCAACCCAAACAAGAGTTCGACAGCTGGGTAGGCGCACCATCAAAATCAGACCTTGGGGCATGGCAAATCGGCTGTCCTGGGGGTTGAAGGTGTCCCAATTGCGGGAGCAGCTTCACCCAAGCCTTGCTCGCAGGTTGCACACGTGGGGGTGGGGGGTGGGGGGCGGGTAGGTGATTAGGAACATCATATTAAATGGCAAGTGGAAAATCTTCAGTACTTTTCTCGCGAACCCAGCCTTATGTTTCTTTCTGTGCTTGGGCCGCTGGGGCTCAGGCCATGTGCGATGTGAGCCAGTGGCAAAAGGATTTGGGGATCGGAGAAAACCCCCATGTTCTTCAATGGCCGCCAGCAAATGTGGCAGGGGTCCACGCCTGCGCGCCGTAGGCTCCATGCAGCGGTCACATGAAGAATTGTACATGAGACATGGGGAATTGCACCTGGCCCTAGTGCAACATGGAGAATTGGAAGGCTGATTTGGGCCGGGCGGCGTTGCTTGGCTCGCCCGCCCCGCGCTCGGGGCTCGCTCCGCCATGCAGCCGAGCGCAGGCCGGACATGATCCACAAGTCAGAACGTTGAGCGTGTTCTCCACGTGCGAGCCAAACCCGGAGTTGTTTTTTGGATGCGGAAAGCCATGTTTTGGGCTCCGTTTTCTGTTTTTCTTCACGAAGGGCTTGCAAAAAGGGGTTGGGCTCGAGTTGTTTCCTCGCTGAGCTCCAGCCGTGGGCTAACGGCAGGCGTGAAGACCGAGGAGGGCCTGGTGATTTTTGAGGGGAGTCCGCACAAGGTCAAGGCGTGCGGGGATTTGGACACACGATGACCTTGGCACGCTTTCCGAGCCTTGAAGTTTTGCCAGCCTTGCCGCGCGGACTTGCAATCTTCGCGTGATGCATGGTCATTGATCCAAGGCCTCTGTTAGGTTTTGGGGTAAAGCACCAAACTTGGTGGCTCCCAGCCATCCGGTTCCTTAGCTTCGCCTTTTAGTGTTTAGTGGTAGTTTCCGTATTTAACCCACTAAAAGTTAGTCAAACTTTTAGCGGGGGATAGGGCAGCCCAGAAAACACAAATTTTAAGTGTGGCAGGCTTCGAAGCCCCAGAGTAAAGCCACGATCGGCGCCCGAAGGCCGAAGGCCAGGAGGAGTCACTTCGACGCTTCGATCGTCGTCATTTCCCGGACATGCCTTGGATGTGTTCTCTTCGGAATATGGCTGTGGCTCAAAGAACCGGTACCAGAATAGAACCTTGGTAAGTGGAAACATGGACCAACACCTGCGTAACCCCTCCTGTTTAATTTTGAGCCACACCCATATGTTTACAAATATCTCGAGCCGTCAAGATGGTTGTTTTATGCCACACCACCAAGTGTGCCACCATTATCCGGCATCCGCCGATGCATAGAGACAAAGCACAACGAGGGTGAAGGAGTCGCTCAAACTTGCACAGACGTGGACTCTTGCAAACTACTGGTAGGAGCCTTCAGGAAGCTCTGTGGAAAAACAAGAGAAGCAACGCTTAACACTTCAAACATGATAGGCAATTTTCAGGTCCAGTGTTTGTGTTCTTGTGCTTGTGTGTTTGTGTGCTCAAAGGCAAGACCAACCTTAACCTGCTGAAGCGATTCTACACTTACCATTCTTCCCAGATCTGCTTCACAGGGAACACAGGGCGGAAACAGGCCCCTCAATTCAGGTTTCATGCGTGGGTGGGTGGGTGGGTGGGTGGCGTTCAGTGCCTGCCATTCAGCATGGCATGTGGCACATTCGATCGACCCCACGGTTCTTCCAAGTGGATTCATGTTTTGGGGTGTTTCTTTTGCCTGAGTTTGAACTTTGAACCATTTCTTTCGTGCTAAGCGCGCCATAAGCGCTCCCAGGTGCTCTATGGGAACCTGCTGTGGACGGGGGCCCTGGCCCTTGCCAGGTTCTTCGCCCAGTCCAGCGCGGCCCCAGCAGTCCGAGGCGCGAGGGCGCGAGGTCGAGCTGGGTCGGACCCCCTGGAAAAAGAGCCTGCGTCTTGGTGTCCCAGTTCAGGTGGGGGATTTGCCATTCGACTATCTCCTACTTTCAAAGCAAGCTATGAATGGACAAACTGGTCGCACAAGAGCATTGGAGATTGTCTAGCAGCATAAGGACACTGATCAGACTTTTCTTTGTGCCTTGCAGTTCATTCCTGAGTGATTCCCAGCCGTCTCCAAGCTGATCAGCTGCAACAAAGCTGTGGAAACGCGTGCCGCTGAGTCACTCACGACACACGACAGGCCGATCGGTGCTGGAGCTGGGTGCGGGCACTGGGGTGGTGGGCCTTACGATGGCACGCCTTGGAGCGGCGCCTCGAATCCATAGCGTGTGTGTGTGTGTGTGGCTGGGTGGGTGGGTGTACGGGGAGCTTGCGGATCCCTTGACCTCTTCATTGGGGTTGGATGGACGGGCTTTCGTGGATATCTTATTTCTTGCAGGCTTGCCATTGAATCCGATAAAATGTGATAGGACGGCATAGCGGCCCTGTTAGGGGTTCTCCGACTGATCTCTCTCGACATCAAGGGTGATTGGGCGGACACCATGGCTTTAGGGAGCCTTGAGGGACAGGACACGAGAATAGGGTTTAGGCAAAAAGCCAGAATCGTGGCCCACCTGGGATTGTTTCCCAAATGTATAGATACACGCGCACACGCACATGTATACATAACATATACATTAGTTATACGTACATACGCATGCACGCATATGCATGTCATGTATATGTGAAGAAAGTGGGAACCCCAGCCTACACGAGCTGGTTCCCTTTTGAAAAGGGCGCTTAGTTTAATCTTGAAGCACAACCACGTGCCTGCTGGCAACAGGTCGCCCTTGGGTTAAATTCCTTTTTTGCTATCAGCATCTCTGGATGTGTGATAGTTGTTTTTACGACAGGACCTTTGAACATACTTATTGACCAGCCATATCCAACACTGTCTTACCCATGCAGAAGCATGAGTACCTGATCTCATCATTTGACCTCTGCAATGCCACAACAGGACGAGCGTCAGCAAGCCAAAACAGGAAGTTTGGCGATGCTTCCTGTAAAATATCAGATCATGATGGAGACGGACGGCCACGGCCCAGCCAACAGCTAAGGCGTCCTGCTTTTCCGTGGCTCATGTTGAGGCGATGCAACCTATGGTCCGTTGCTGTTCAAAACTCTGAGCTACCATCTACTATGAAGGAGACTGATCACGAAAGCTAGCTTTAGCTAGCTGAAGTTTCTCCTTGCGTAAGCAAGGTAAGGGGCTCAAATGCCGAAAGATTGATTTTTTCAATTATTTGAGCCGAAAAGATTGAAAAATATCAAATATTTAGACCCCCCCTCCCCCAAAAAATGGAGAAAAGGGGGGGCCTGGGGGAAAGAGGGAGGAGTGTAGGGGTTATTGGGTCAAATGTTGTTATCCAACGTTTTAACACCCTTGTTTGATTTCATCCTATATTTTGTTGTAGGGTGTTAGGGGTGGATTTTCTGGGGGCCGACATTTTTTTCATTTGAAAGAGTTGGCCCTTTTAGTAGTTATTTTGTTCTGGGGTGTTGGTGGTTCATTTGTTTATTCCTATTCTTGTTCAAAGTCACTTGTTGTTTCCATGTAATCTCTCACTGTATCGTTATTGTTTTCTTGACCTTTCACTCTTAGTTGGTGCTTACTTGTTTGTTGGTGTTTTTTCATTCTGTATTTTCCTACCATGCATTTACATAAAGAACATTCTACTTTCAATTGGTTATAGTCTTTCTGTTTTTCATTTATGTCTTCTTTGTTCTTTTCTCTATATTCTTTTGCTTTTTGTTTTATGTCTTCTCTACGGTTTTGACGATAATTCTTTTTCTTTTCTAGTATAGCGTCTTTGTTATTCTCTCTGTATGTCTTATTCTTATCTGCTATTTGTTCTTTGTTGTTTTCGTAATACTCCTTTGACTTCTGCTGTATTTGTTCTTTGTGTGCTTCTCTATACCGTCGTTTATTTTCCAAGCATACATTACATTGTTTTCTTCCTTCGTTGAACTTTTCTATCAATTGAAAGACTTTACATTTGGAACATTGTTTTTTGTCTGTCATTGGTCTCTATATGTTTAAGGGGTTATTTCTTTAGATAAGTTTAAGGGCTGTCATAGGTTAAAATTTCAGTATAATTATAACATATAAGATTTTACATGTTATTATTATATTATGATTATAATTTCAGTTCAGGATAATAATCTAATTGGTTTGTCTTACTTCTTTCATACATCATTTTAAAAATAATATTATCATCTCTCACTGTATTCTGAACATTAAACTTTTTACTTTCAATAAATAATTTGATATTTTGTTTAACATCTTCTCCTTTCTC